TTATTTGGGGCCACAGTTTCAGAGGTTTACACCCAGGTCAGCTGTGCATTGATTTGTGTCTGAGGTAGTCAGAACACCATAGTAATGGGAGGGTGACGCAGAGGCTGTTCATCCCATGGCAGACAGAAACCAAAGAGACTGAGACCAAGAACCCAGGTTCTTCCAGGGCATGCCTTTGCCTAGAAAGAAACATCTTGGGAGCCAGGTGATAGTGACACACACCTTTAATCCCAGCACTCAGGAGCAGAGGCAGGTAGAACTCTGAGTTTGAGACCAGCCTAGTCCACAGACTGAGTTCCAGGACAGCCAAGGCCACACAGAGAGACCCTGTCTTAAACAACAATAACGACGGCAATAACAGCAACAAAAATGAAACAACATGGTAGAGAAAAAGCTGTTCACCTTGTGGCGGCCTTTAAGGGAAGAGGCAAGGTAGAGAGAGGGAGGGAGCAGAGGGGAGAGAGTGTGGAACAGTAGGGGTGAGCATTAAAAATCAAAGGCTTCAGAGTGGAGGGGCATGGGAGGAACTGGAGGGAAGATACCTGGGGGGAAGAACGAAGGGAAGGTATGGGAGAAGTGATGCACTCTGTTTCAATAGAAATATATTTAAAAATATACCTATGGGCACCACTGTGGCACAAATGCCATGTGGTAACTAATACATTCTCATGTGCTTCAAGGCACCACCCATTCACAGGGTAGTGTAGTCTGGCCAAGGACTCACAGCCTCATATGGGTGAATCTACCACTAATAGTTTGCTAAAGGGTTGTAGTATCAAATTGCCCTCTAAATCTGTATTTCCATACCTATAGATCAACGTGACTCTCAGGCCTCAGAGAAGTGTCTTTGTGCAGTGGATGGTGGTTCATGCGAGAAACTCACAGCTGATGAAGTGCAGGGAATAAGTGTCTGGAATGCTCGGGGATAAGCGGGACATCTATATCACAGCCCACTTCTCAAGGTTCAGGGACCATCACAGAAAGGGGTAAAGAAAACTCATAAGAGCCTGCGGTCAGGGAGGACCAGACCAAGAGTGTCTCCTGGGCACGACAGGGATGCTGCCCTTGTGAACTTACAGCCATGGTGGTTGCCTAGCCAAGACTTGCCAAAGATTAAGCCAGTCAACATTATAGCATGGAGAAGAGAGGAGATACTGGTTCCCCACTCTTAGTTGAGGAATAATGGACAACTAATGGTTGCTGGGAGGTGGGGATTCAGTTTTCTTTAATAGTGTCTCCTCTGATAGGTCAGCCAAACTCCAGTGAATGGCCCACACCCATGACTATATGGGCAGTGAAAATTGTACTTATTGGGTTATGAAAAGGATTATAAATCCACAAAAGTTTGGGGGTATGGGATACAGAGTATATCTAGGAGGAGTTAGATGGAAAAAGGGGTATAAATTTGATCCAAATATATTATATACATTTATGCAGTTCTCAAGAAGCCAGTAAAAACAGTATGTTACAAATTACCAACCCATGTGCTGATGAAGCCGTCAATGAAGTCTGAATCTCCTGATTCAGTCACTAGAGCCCATCACCTGCACCCACACCTTTAACACTTGAGCCTTCAGGGGCTATTTTCAGACTCAAACTATGGCATTGTCTTTGCATGCATTTTTAGGTTTGTTAGTTGGGAATCTTTGTCCTTTCAAGAAAGATAGTAAAGATGCCCTATGATTATCCATCTTAGGAGGGATAGACTTCCCAGGTGGAGCCATAGCTGGAGGGTGTTCTGAGCTACTACCTGGGAATCAAATGGGTCCTCCTGAACAGCCAGTGCTCTTGACCACTGAGCTCTCTCTCCAGCCCCAATTTTATTAAATCCCAGCACTCATTCCCAGCAACATTCATTGTGAGTTGGATAGATAGCTGAACCCAAAGTACAGAACCAAATAATCCTTCCAAGGTCTTGAGGGTGGCTTACTTGGTAAAGTATTCTGTAAGCACGAGAGCCTGAGCATCCAGCACTCAGATTAAAAAAAAATAATCCAGGTACACAGCTTGGCCCTGTAATGCCAGCACTGGGGCTGCACACACAGGAGGATCCTTGGGATGCACTGACCATCAGTCAAGCTGAGTCAGTAGGGCCAGTGAAAGACTTTGTCTTAAAGACTAAGGTGAACAGAGATTGAGAAAGAATTTGATATTAACCTCTGACCTCCGTGTGTGTGTGTGTGTGTGTGTGTGTGTGTGTGTGTGCAGGTGTGTGCACACATGTTCATGCCTAGTATTCAGTGTATACCAACAAGGCTGTCAATATGCTAAATATGGAATTTCTTTAGGCCTTGGCAAAGGGGAAATCCATGACATTGATCCTATGATTTTTCTCTTCTTGGTCCAGCGACTAAGGGATAACCTCTGGTCTGGCAGGGAGTCAGTGTAGACACTTCTCTCTTCAAAGGTCTAAAGTTAGCACCAGGCTGGCTTATATGGGTTGTTCCTGGGTGCATGGTATACCAGCCGGTGTGGCTTGATTTTGATGTAAATGTCCCTGTTACTATATGTCCCATCAGAGACCTGGAGATGAGGTGGCATTCTTGGTCTGGTGCTGGCATCTTAGTGGGCAAATGCCGCAGGCTATGCAACTACCTGCTGAGTTAATTACTCCTAGAGACCGCCTTGTGCAGTTGCCTTCATGCTACCTGGAAGAGGCTGGAAGAACCAGCACAAGGCAGGCAGGCATTCGAGCCAGGGACGTGAGAGTTGTTGGTGGGGTCGGATTGAGAAGATGCTGCTTGCTGCCTACGTGCCCATGGTGCACACGGAAGGTAGTATGGGCTGCGGAATGGTGGGGGAAATCCTCTTTTCCAATTACTGGCTAGGTTTGCTAACATCACTGAATGCCCGCTGATGACAGTCATAGCCCCATTACTTTCATTAATAGAGAAAGAGTGGGGCTTACAGAAATCTTGCCCAAGGCCAAATACATTTGTTAATGCAAGTGATATAATTCTGGAGTTACTGTAAATATTCTCACCATCACATTAAGAACACTGGATAGTGCTTTCATTAAAACTCATTTACTCATGCTTCTCTTCAGCAAATTTTATGAATCAAATTGTTTAACTCCTTGTAGGTTTGTGAATCCTATGGTGATCGTCCTGCTGTTGTTTATTTAACTCTTCACACCATTCTTCTGGGGGGGGGGAGGACACCAGCTTCTCAGCTTGAACTCTGCTATGCTGGCACTATTCCTTTGGGCTCTGAGGAAGAAGGAGGTTGGCCCCTGCTTTAGGTGGGCAAGGCTGTACTGGTAAGTGAGCTGGAATGTGGGCACAGAAGCTGTTGCTGAGTGGGGTATTGCTTCCTTCCTTAAGCCAAGATAATTGAGCTGTCACCATTAAGGTTTTATTGGTTCAGATTCAGGTTAGGACTGGAGTCTTCCTTCCCAGTCCCCCAGTGTTCCGTGGAGAAAAGACCAAGTAGAAAATTCACTGAGGAGTTTTGTGAAGGCTGCAAGGAAAAGGCAGTTGTCAGCTCCTGTGGTTTCAGGGAACCCCAGAAAGGAGGGGGGGGGGTCATTTAAACACTTCAAACCAGAAAGGAAATAGAAAGCTCTTCCACTTAGTATGTCAAAACCAGCTCAGAAATGTGACAATTTGGGCAGAGCATTATGATTTCTGGCCAGTCTGGTCATGATCCTCTGGCAGACTGCACAGTCACGGCTGTGAGACACTGGAATGAGAGGTACTATATAAATGTCAGATGTTACATAAACGTCAAGAATCATTATTGTTTGTTAATGGGGGCTAAACTGTTCCTAAGCAGAGATCCCACTCCCAGCCAGGAAGTTCTCATCAACAGTCACCCACCAGAAAAGAATGAACATCCCTGGTTCCACCAGAGCACTCAGGTGGGATCTGGGGTTGGCTGTGGATTGGAGTGGGTCTCTGCTCACCAGGTGAGCGCCTTGCCTTCTGGAGTCTGCCTTAGCTCAGCTGCGAAATGGGGATAATTTACAACACTGCCACACTTCTTACTGCGCCAAGGTCCTGTGAGGAAGAACATGACTGTGATTTCAGGTGCTTAGCAAAGTGTGAGCTGTTGCAGGACAACAGTGGTCATTTTGAACAAACTTTCAATGATCCCGAAGGGGAGAGCTTCCAAAAGGAAACCTAGCCCTTGACAGGGATGAGGAAGGTGATAGTGGTGGCAACTGGCCCACGCTGAAAACGGCAGTCTTCCTTTCCTGCTGCAGACCTGGCCCTAGATTCTGTATTCTAGCCCCGACTGGGCTGCTTCCCAGCCGGTGAGCTTGGGCCAGTAACCGAGGCTCTGGATCCAATGGCCAGGGCCCTTCCGGCGCTGACGCGAAGTCTAAATCCAGCTCATCACTTGGCTCTTGGCTGAGATTCACCTTTCGCCTTCAGTAGTGACTCTCTCAGCTCTGCACACGCACCGTGGGGGGCCAGGGAAGGCTAGGGGTTGTGTGTAGCCCCAGTGACTGTGCCCAAGAAAGAAGTTATGCCCTTGAGAGTGCCGTGGAGAGGGCGGTGAAGTGTAGCTATACAGTGCTGAGAAGACAACATGCAGCCAACACTGCAATGAGGTCACAGCTGTCGCAGGCAAAGGGGCTGGGTATCTTCTGGGTGTGTGTTGTGGGGGGAGGTGAGCGTCTTGCATTTATAAGTGCAAAAGTCTCCCCCCCCCACCTCCGTTAGCGTCCGATTGTCATCAATCTTGCTCACACCCCAAACCTAACTCCTTTCCGACCCTACCGGCACTCCTTGTTGGAGAGCTCGTGTTCGTGTCTCCTGCGTGGCCCTGTCTGAAACCATCAGGATTGTTTCCAAGCTGACTCACACCACTAAGGTCGGGGAGCCGTGTTACTCGGCGCTGGGCTGTGCAAGCTGTTGCTTGCGCGGTCACAGGCGCCGCCGCCGCCGCGTGCACCCAGGTCCGCTGGAGAGGCGGGATCTAGGCGGGGCGGGAACGGGGCCCGCCCCCTCGGCGTGCGGGCCCCGCCCCTCTCTCCCTCCTTCCCCAGCGGACCGCAATGATTTAGAAGTTCAGGAATCCCACGTGACGTCACCGGGGGGGTGATGTAATGCACTCTAAATAGAATGTATTGTAATCTTTGCTCAGTCCAACGTGGTCCCTTCACCCGGGCTCGGCTCTTGCCTTCTCCACACTTGTTTGGTAAGTTCCTAAAAATACGGCGCGGCCACTTCTGGGGCTTTTGCATTTAGCCACTTTCGCTGCACTTGCCGCGCGAGCCGACTTGGGAGCGTCCTTGTTTGCAGGGGTTGGTTCTCCACTGCAGCCGCGAGGTTACTTGGTCCAACGGGCAGGTCACAGGGCAAGGAGTAGGGAAGATGCGATGCATTTCCCTTCCTTGAGTTGTGTTTGTAAACACTTTGGCGGATCAGAGGGAAGTCCGGCCCCAATTGTTGGTGGACTGTGGAGTTGTGCTGTGTCCTGTAGCCACCCGGAGACCCCACGCCGTTTCCGTCCCGGAGCGCGTCTCGGTGGTTGCTGCGCCGTGCGACTGGAGGGATGCTGAGTGGAGCCAGCGCCGTGTCCGACCCAGTGTGCGTGCGTGTATGGGAGCGCGCGTGAGTTTCCCTGACACGGGGAACAGTTATGAATCGGGGGTGTATGTTTGCCTCCAGAGCCCTGGCAAGGTGCGGAACCCTCCAGAAGTGTGGTCAAGCGGCGGTGGTGGTGGTGGCGGCGGCAGCAGCAGCGGCAGCAGCGGCAACAGAGACTGCGAACCAGGAGCTTCCCCCGCGTCCCCAGTTTCTCAGTGATGCAACGGAACCCCTGGAGAAAGTTTGCAAACTTCCAGCCGGTGCGGTAGAGACGCCGGGTCAACTAGGGGTGGTCAGGCGAGTGCGCAGGGGGCTTGCTCTCCCCCGGGTGCCCGAGCGGCCGCTGCCACTTCTCAAGACCAGCTGGCCCTGCCGGCTGCAGCTGGTGGGCGCACGCCCGGAGAGGGGTGGTTGCCCTTGAAGGGCACTTGACTTTCGCTCCAGGCGCTCCCGCTCGAGAGTGCTCCAGGCCCCTCGCCTTCATGCCTGCAGCCGCCTCCCGCCTCCGTCCCCTTCGAGCTGGCACTGTTACCTCTTCCGGGCTGCCGCCCCAAATGACAGCTGGGGCCCGAGCTGCGCTGCGCACAGGCGGTTCTCAACACGCTGCAATGGAACCTGTCTTTAAGCGAGATTCTCCACCGAACCGCTTAAACTTTTCACAAAGTTCTTAGAGGGTCCAGACAAGAAAGAGCCTAGATGCCCCTCCCACCCACCCCTGACACATCAGGGAGACAATATCTCCTATATCCCGCTTGTGGTGTGTGTGTGTGTGTGTGTGTGTGTGTGTGTGTGTGTGTGTGTGTGTGTGTGTGTGTGTGATAGATTAATTTCCAGGAGGTATCTAGTAGAAAAAGCTTCAACTTTCCCTGAATGAGTATCGCCCCCCACTTGATGCTGGTTCAAGACCGGGAACTGGAGTGGACTGCTTGTACATTTCGTTGTCAGAGTCTGCCTGCAAAGCTTGTTTGGTTTTTTATTTTTCCCTCTCCCTGACATGTGTCAAAGAATAAAGGCTGGCTACAGGTCCATTACGTCATTCTGCAGGCCAGTAAGTGTTTGATTAAGGGCTTCAGATACTCAAGGGTTCAGGGGCTCAGAATGCTGACAAAGCAACTCTGCTTTCGCTCCCCCAGGCCCCCCCTCCCCGCGCAATTGAGGGTTCCCTGGACACCGCTATTGCCCTCTCTTCCTCGACCCCTCCTTCCCCAACGCTCCCCCGCCCACCTCGTTATCACTGGGCCAGCCCCCGCCTTTTACAGTTTCCCTCAGGGGAATGCTGTCCCAGGAGTGAGCTTCTGGTGTCTGAACGCAGTACCTGATGAGCGCTCAATCTGCCCTTTTCTATTATTTAAGAAAGGCACTAGCCAGGCCCCTTTCCCCGGCGAGGATGCTTAGCCTAGACAGAAAAACCTCTGGAAAGGTTTAGAAGTCTTATATGCTAATGCCGTGTCCCTGCGGCGACTTAGGAAAGCAACACAGCTAAGAGCCAGGAGTCCAATGAACCCTGCAGCCCTAGGGGAAAGATGAAGGAGCTGACTAAATCAGGTTTAGCGGAAAGGATCTAGATTAGATGTTTAATTTCCAAAGTGAGGGGATGTGTGTGACAGCTGAAAGCACCATGCAATACATTGCTGCGTGTGGTACTTTCTTGTTCTTAGCCTTGAATTTCTGCCTGCAGAGGAAGTTAAATGCCCATTTTACAGAATTGAGTTAATATCTTCTCCACTGGCCCTTCAACACCAGGGCGACAACACCACTGCTGTGACTTGTTCAGGGGACAGAGAGCGAAACTTTTGGGGTGAGTGAAGAATGGTAGGCAGAATCAAGTATAAACAAACTCAGGCACAAGCTTTTGGCTGGAAGGGGACAGGGAACTTGTGTACTCCTTGATTTGGAGATGGGGGAAGCTAAATAAAGGAAAATTTATATTCTAAATAGGTGGCATTACTTGAAGAACACAACACGTGTTTTGGTATAATTAGATCTACTTTCTCTAACATGCTGTAGTTAGAGAGCAGGCTTTGTGAACTCCTGACTGGAGACTGATTGACACCCCTTCCTCAAGTTTGTGGCAGTATTTATTATTTATTCCTATCTAGACATGGAATAGTATAACTCCCTGTGCAATGCATGGGCATTGAAAATGTTAAACTTCTTGTTTGTGATGCAGAGACCTAAGGGGAAAATGGCCGGGTCATGGGCCCTGGAGAGTGTGATTAATGATCAGTGATTTAGTGATCAGTGATTAGTGGTTTTATTCAAACTGTTACCTCTGACCAGAAGCACACATCAGAGGATTAACAGGCTCTTTAGATAAATGCTCATTAGTGGAAGGGGAAAAGCAAAGATAATAGGCATGCACCCAGGGACAACTTTCGAAGAAAATCATTCCCGTCTTCAGAATAATAAGCTCTATTAACAGAAAGCCCTTTTAATTTAAAACTTGCTTTTATCTTGTAAATCAAAGTTAGATGTAAAAGTTTGTAGTGCCATTATAACCTAAATTTTCCCATATCCACTAGATGTGGATTATCCCAGTAGCGATATCGGTTTTTATTTAAATAAACAATTGGACCTTTAGAGTGGCTGAACCCTGACAAGCTTAGCTCCCAGGGTTGGAAGGTGTCCCCCCTTTATGGATGGAGATTGCACTTTGCTAACTAGATGGCGCACTGTTATTTGGTGTTGTGTGCTGCAGAGCACAGGGAGTAGGAAAGGAGCATGTAGCTGCTTGCGAGGTGTTCTTCAACACAACAAAGTTCATTCTGTGTAGGATTGGAGGCTAGACAGTTCTACAAGTTTTCAGTCACATTTTCCATGTCAGTTAAATCTGGGGAGTTGAAGGCTACTGGAAAAATTAGTCTCACTACTAAAAGAAACATAAAGAAGGAGGGGGAAGAAGGTACCAGAGTCCATGAGGGACCTCTGAGCTGCAAAGTGATTGAAGTACAAGGTTTGTTCTCTTTTTAGCTGAGAGCTAGTTCACAGTCTTCTCTGGTCTGAACCACTGAAGCAAGTGCTCAAAGATTTGTCTCCTTTCTGTCTGATCTTGCTGCTTAAAAGAAGTTACAAGCAAGAAGGGAAATTTTTGGTCTGGTGACTGCAGAAGGCAACACATCGCGGTTTCACTCTACGAGCCATGGTAAGAGCATGCTCATGTTTGGGAGGCAGATAAAAAGCCTTGTGCATCCCATCAGCGGAGGTCAGCCTTACATTCTCACAAACAGGACTTGGAAATGGATTTTTAGTTTGCATGTGTATGTGGTTTTTGCTGGGATTGGTAAGATTTTTGTGCAGGTGTGTGTGTGTGTGTGTGTGTGTGTGTGTGTGTGTGTGTGTGTGTGAGAGAGAGAGAGAGAGAGAGAGAGAGAGAGAGAGAGAGAGAGAGAGAGCTTTATTTCTGGAATTAAATGTGCATGAGCCTGTGCATTGTAGGGAAGCTATGAAAAGGGGCAAGCAAGGTGTCAGGTACAGTATTCCCTCCAAAATACTTTCGTGAGTCACTTTAATAAGTACCTGAGTTTTAGCAAGAAGGTGTTCTTTAAAAAGAAACCTAAAGATTAAAGACAACACAAAAATCCATTTCCACATTCAAGCTTAGACACAGGCTCCCCTAAAGAAGGGTGCTGTTAATTAAATATCAGTTTTACTTTAGTTTTCAACCTCTAAGATAACTCACTGTCTTCTCACACATTTACTCATTATCGGTCACTTACATCATTTTTATATAAATTTGTTATTTTAATTCCTTATGTTTGCATCAATATTTTATTCTCAGTTTTCCTCAGAGTAAATGCATTTATTCAGTCGATGACATCTCCAAGTCAGATTTAAAAAAAAATATATATATATATATAAATGGCTGAATTACCTTTCAGGCAGGACTCAGTTTTGTTTATACCGAGCAGTCAGTTTATTAGATTGATCCTGGAAAAAAAAAGGGGGGGGGAATCCATGCCTTCATTTCTATCTTGCTTTGAATAGGTGGTAAAACAAATGTTAGGCTGTTACGATGTTTCTCCTGTATAGCTTTCCAGTTGTAGACTATTTTTATTGTAACTATTTGCCAGTTTCTCACACCTGCATGACTGTGATCCAAACTGATGTCACAGTCCCAGCATCCCCATTTCCTACTGGGATTTACTTTTTAAAAATGATAAATCATTGCAGTGTTTGTCCTCGGTTGACAATTATTTTGTTGGAGTCTGATGGTGCCTGCATCCTCCAGATGTGAACGTCGTCTGTGCAGTTGATTTCCTTCTGGTTGTATTGTTAGACTGAACTGAGGATCTGAGTGGCCTTATTATTTTAGTCATTTTTCTTTTCTTTTCCCTTTCAAAGCAATGCTGTTAGTCACAAAATTAATGTGATCAAGGCTGGTGTTTCCCATCTATATGCTGCTTTTGCTGCTTGCAAATTGGATTTCTAAGGCATTTTAAGATTTTTTTTTTTTTTTTTTAGAGGCTGCTTTCTTGGATGAAGCTGGACAATGATCTCAGTCAATTCATTATCTTGTCCAGTTTGACTGCCGCTGTGTTATGGGAATCAACTAAGGGTTTTATAAATTAGTGCTTAAACCTTTAAATTGAGGACTGTTTCCAAACTCTGTTTAAAAGAAATGATACCATTGAGATAAGAAGATGAACAGCAGTAGCCTTGGATATTTAAACCTGGGAGATAAACCTCACAAAGAGCCCTTTTCCTGCTGCCATTTGTGAACTAAATGAGCTGTTTTGTCACAGTGCTCTATGCAGGGAGCCTGGCACTTTAAAGATGACTTCATGTGATGTGTTTACTACAGAATTATTAGATTTAGTAATGAACAATTAATACATATTTTTAAAGTACTCATTAGTTTTATAGTTGGGAATCACAAATGAGGAATTCAACATAAAGAGACTTTTTAGCAAGAGGGAAGGCTTCTTAGGATTTTCCAGGTAGTGATAGCACTCTTCCAAAAACACCAGGAAAATTTTGGAGAAACTTTGTGGGACTTTCAAAGAATCCCCAGAGTTCAGGGAAAATTGCCGAATGCCTGTGATGTGACATAAGATGCCAGTATACTTTTCCTAAAGGCTCAATCTATGTTCTCTTCCCTCTTTTAATCTGAAAATTAGGAATAAATGCACGGATTTGAAATTGAATATTTAAATTGATTTGTTCCATTGCCTTAAGGTTCATATTTCTAATCTCTGCCCCCTAAATTAACAAGAATGGAAAACTACCATGTTGGTATTTGATTTGACCTGATCCTGGAGGGAATAAAAGGTTTCTTTTTAACTCAGCCTGGAGACTTTGATGGTGGGTAGAAACCAGTAGCTATATATCAGTGCTGGGGGCAGGAAAGCCTTCTGGTCAACCTCTCCAATCAGTAGAGGAGACCCT